ATTTATTTGCAATATATTCTTAGATTAATAACCTTATAAACCTAATAAAACCATCTGGAGTTCTATGCCTTCAGAAGATTTGCTTTTGGTACTTTTTATATCAAAAGAACATATAATTTTTAAAAGTTTGGTTCTGAATTGAAACCGATGACAATGAAGTCCAAGTTTACTGGATCAGCTGTTTGAGTCAGGAAAGAAACTGCATTCTTAAGCAGAAAATTTATTTGTCTACACTCCCCCAAGGAAAAAATGGTAAAACTAATTTCATTCCAACACTAAGCATTGGCTTAAGATCAAATAAGAAGCATTGCATCCCTGGATGATGTAGCCACAGCAAGTTTGAAGTAACTGATTTCAACAAAGAAAACTGTTTTGCTACTGACCAAGGATGGGGTATCTTTCTGAACTGCACATTGTCCCCACAAATAAGGTGCCTCTAGTTTTAAGTCTCCCTTATCAATGGCTAAGGATGCACTCACAGTTGCAGAGAAGAGGAACTCAGATGGAGAATAAAGAAAGGAAGATTAATAAAGAATAGGAAAGGGGGAATAGAGGAGGAGAAGAGAGATGAGAGAAGCAGGGAAAGATAAAAGACAGCTCTGCTAAGCACATATCTAAGTACAATCAACACTATACATTTCATAAATGCTGTATCTGTGACCTATTGCTGTGAAATAGTGACTCCCAAATTTATGGACTTAAACCAACACATATTCATAATCTCACCATTTCTGTGAGGCAGGAATCAGAGTGCAGTCTAGCTCAAGGTCTCTAACAAGGCTTCAACCAAAATGTGAGTTGAGCCTGCAGTCTCATCTCAAGACTCAAATGAGGAAGCATTCTCTTCCAAGCTTGCTCATGTGATCATTTGCAGAATTGTTTTTGACGGTTGTTAAACTAAGAACCTCAGTTCCTTGCCATGTGGGCCTTTCTATAGGTGAGATCATAAAATCAGAGTTGTTTCATCAGAGCAACCTCATAGAAGAGTCAGAGAGAGCCTGAGCAAGACAGAAGTTACCATGTTTGTATGCTGGTCTTGGAAATGACACCTGTCACTTCTGCTGTACTTTGTTTATTAACAGCAAGTCACCATGTCCAACCCACACCCAAGGGCAGGGGACAGCACAAGGATGTGATGTCAGGAGGCAGGAATGGTTGGGAGCTGTGTAAGAAGCTCCTACACAGGTCTTTGCAGTGTCTACACCAGAGCTCAAGTGCATTGTGCAGGCGAAAAAGCGGTACCTTCACACTGTGCTACATGACCACTCTCAACCTGTCAACCACCATATTTTAGCTGATTGTAATGGAAACACTGATTCTAAACTTGAAAAAGGGAAAAATGATTTCTGGAATCTGTGATATTCTTCTAGAATGCTAATAAGCCTGACTGATCCCACTCTGAAACTCTTGGGCAGTGTCACAAATGTTTATCTAATCATTCACAATTGGTTAAAGAGGGTTTATAGTCCTGTGAGGTTAGCCTGCACAGTCGATAGCTTACGACTTTTACTGCCTAGCAAACAAGTTAACTCTAAATTTGGCATTTTTTTTTATTGCTTTGTAGAGTTTTGCCTTAACTTAGCATCTCATGTCTTCATTTTTTTCCCAATTGGCTTTATAAATCCCAGTCACCAAATGCTTGTGGAGGCAAATTATTTATCTTTTTGCTGGTTCCCTTATTAATGAATTAAATAAAGCTTTGGAATAGGGTAACAGATGATTTTGCCTGAGAATCAAACTTTCGCATGCTCTAGGAGTAACCACGAGGTACACAGGGAATTCAGCAAAGCGCTGACCATGGATGCTAATAGACACTGGGTTCCTGGCTTTATTCTGATTGGCTGACCCACCTTCACACACTTATGGGCACAATGTCTGTGTGGATAGCAAGCCCCCAGGGGATTTGAGAACTACCCTGAGGGAGTATGCTCAAGCCTTTTGTAAATTTATACTTATGCCCTCTCATGGGGGACTATGTCTCTGTCCATGGCTCAGCATCAGGGCTTGGAAGAGGAAGCCCCAAAACCAAGTTCTGAGATGAGAGTTTCCTGGCTGGTGATGCAGAGGATAAGAGCAACACACACCGCCAGGCTGCTGCTGTGCAGGAGGAGGAAACAGGAAGAGAAGGAGACACAGGGAGGGCCTACCCAGGGCTATGGAGGAGGAGGCGGTTTTTCTCCCTAGTGTGGCCACGCCCCTACAAGCCTCCTGGGAGTGGGCCTCTCTGCAGGGGCCTCTCTGCCTTGGCTTCCAGCCATCTCCATTTGGTTCTCCAGCACCCAGGCCAGGAGTGTGGGGCTCACTCAAGACCAGATAGCTCAGGTTTCCAAGTGAACATACATTCCACAGGACGTGCTTTGGGAAACTGAAAAGAGGTAGCCCTGATATTTCCATCCACACACTCAAGTGCAACTCAGTGATTTCCTTGGTGCTGATGCAGAACCAGAGGTCTGATTTTCACCTGCATTTCACTTGTCCCATAACCTTTGTGTTTGCTCCTGGGAAAACAGAAAAGGCATAGTCTCATCCCCAAGGAGTGGATCCAGGGGATGAGGGGACAAGCAAGGATTCTTGGCATGCGAAGGAAAAAAGAGGGGTGGCAAGGCTTCAGGGAAGCCTGGGGCTGTGGCCCACCAGATGTGTCCTCTGGTCCTGGCAAACCCAGGCTGGCTGGGTTGATATCACCCCAGAAGGCAGGGGAACCCCACAGGACCATCCCCTCAAGCTCAGACTGACAAGAAGCCAACAGAAAGCATACCATCTGTATGCAGGATGCATAGCGGTCTTCTCTGTGAGCACCAGCTTTCATCTGCTTTTAAGAGTTGTGGGGAAGAAAATGAAGCAAGTAACCTTTTCAGAGGAAGTACTTTTAAGATATTAACATGTTTTCCAACAGCAATTTTTCTGAAAGCCTAATTCACATTCATGTGCAGCTTCTAAAACAACCTATATTTTCACAAACTGTTTTCTTGGTAAAATTTTCAAAACATTCTCAAGGAAGATGCGTTCTGTGGCAATGGGATGCCAATAGAACTAAAGGGACTTGATCTAAAAAGAAAAAAAAAAACATACACACACCCACGCACACACACACACACTTTTCAAATAAGAAGTCTGACTGGTTACTGGTGACTGAAAGGCAAACCTGATGAGAGACCAGGGCGGTGCAGGCCTAGTGAAGGGAGGCAGTTATGGGTGACCGAGAGTGTAAGGAGGAAGCAGAAGGGGGAGTTCATATGAGGGCAGCGTTTGCTGATGAATACTTCCTGGCATGGTGGTTTCATTCTCTATGCAACCTTTTAACTGCAGGGACACAGAGCATGGGGCCTCTGTGCTGTCATTCAGATTTATTAGCATTTTTGCTAAAGGTCTTATAAAAGATCTCAGGAATAAAAGCAGTGTCCCGTGGCTCTTGCCTGTCTTTCCTGTGTCTGATAATAATTAACAGCTATTGCTTAGCAAGGCCAGCCACAGGCTCCACCCTCTGCCATGTGCCTCCTGCAATGGTCACACCCAGTCTCATAATTGTAATCCTAAGGACACTGAAGGTTTGTGAGGAGAAATGTTTGCTCGCGGTCACCTGGTTGGTATGACAGAGACAAGATGCACACCTAGATGCTTATCTGGATGGTCTAACTTCAGAGTCCTCTTGACCACCTCAATATATGCTCCCTTGTGTGATGACCTCACAACCACAGAAAATGTGAAACATGAAGGACTATGTGACAAAGAAAGTCTGAGGTCCCAAACAACTACTGGGTAAAATATCATAATACAACATTCAAAGGATGCTAAGAGCACTGGATGGAAATTAGCCAGGTAAAAGAACACTCACAGGGCTTCAGACTTTGCTCCATTGCTTACTAGTGAAAGCCAAAGAATGTAAAAAGTGACTTTATAAAGGGAGCTCTTGCAGAAACAACCTTATCCCAGTGAAAACTTACCAGCATGTGCCATGGGGTGCCCACTGATGGGCTGGAAAGAGAAATGGAGGAAATGTCTATCTAAATCTAAGTAGGAGGAAATAATCAGGCAAGTCCAGGTTGTGCAGCACTCCATAAAACAAGTGGCTCAGAGTCTTCAGAGACATCAACATCACAAAAGAGAAAAACGAAAGCAGAGCTTTGGTTTAGATAAAAGGAGACATAACTGAACTCAGTGAGTGATACTTAATTGAACACCAGACAGGGGAAAACAGCTATGATGACTATTTGGGGGACAAGCAGGGGTATCTGGATAAGAACAACATATTTGGATAATACCACTTTATCAATATTAAATTTCACTGTGGTAATGGCACTATACTTTTGAAGAAGGCAGCTGTGTACTTACAAGATGATGCCAAAGCATGTCATGATGTCAGCAACTTACTTTCAAATGATTCAGACAAAAAGAATCAAACACATACAAACATATATTTATCATTTGTGAGTGTCTGTTTTTGTATTCTGGGTGAAGAATTAGGGGTGTTCACTGTTCTATTCCTTCAAGTTTTCTGCAGAATTAAAGCTTATAAAATAAAAAGTAGGTAAAAAGGCATACAAAAATATTTGTCTCAAGAGTCATAAAGCAAAAGAATGGCTTTGCTGTCAGCCAGATTAAAATTGTATTTTTGGATAAGAAGTAAAAGGAAACAGTAAAAATAAAAATAATTAGTGTGTTAAGATAATGGGACTATTTTTCTTTTGCTTATAATATTTTAAAAATCAATAATGGTTGCAACAGATGACAAATTTTGCACTGGTATCGATCAATTCACTTGTCAATCACTACAGTTGTTTTTTTTCCTTTTAAAGAACAATGCCTATTATTCCAATCTCAAATTCTAATGCAGTATGAAATACATCTCATGATTCTTTGTCAATTTACTTTACAGTTTATCTGGGCTTTATATCTGATTTCCAGGGAATCCACAGAACCACTACCAGCTCTGTTGTCAGAGGCGGTGACTGCACTTGCCCCTCTGTCCTGCCACGAGACCCCATGAACACAGGACTTACTTTTCAGACACCTGATTCTGGAGGTGTGTGACAGTCAGGCATGCAGGCCAATGCTGCATCGTCGCTGCTGGAAATGGCCCATTGTTGCCCAGTAGAAGGTGAGACCACAGTGCCTGAGAACTCTGGAAAAGACAATGAGAATCAAAGAGAATGTTCACACTTCATGGAAAGTGAAAATTAACAATTTAAGCTTTAGGAATTAATGTCTTATATTTTAAAAATTAAATATTAATATTTCAAATTTTAAAATTATTTTAAATATTTAACATGCATCTGAAATTGGCTGGTGAATCCCGCACCCCCTGAATCCCACTCCCAACACATGATCCCACCCTTTAATTTTTAAATGAACGTCCCATCAGGAGACAGATGAGGATCAAAATGGGGAAAATCTCATCTGTGCAGACTTAACAGATGTGAGGGTAGGCTCAGAGGCCCTATAAGCTGATGTGCGAGGGGACTGGACTATGCTCTCAGGGGGCCTCGAGAACTCAACTCTTGACTTCTGAGATTCTGGGAGAGAAGTTCTGGGGGTGTGATCTGTAGGGAACCTCAAAGTGAAGGGGCTGTTCATATTTCACACAGTGGAACCAGGTGCATCCCATCTGAACTGGGCATTCCGCAGGCATTCAGCAGATGCCGTACATTTTTATCTTTTTAGGTCATTTATTTTACCTAATAACTTATAGGCAAAATTTAATTTTTACTCAGTTTGAGTATCTGTCTTTTAATCAGGGAATTTAACCCATTCCTTCTCCTTTGGCAGGGTATGGGAGCAGGAGAGGGAGTGATTGGTATATTTGGACCTTTCACCATTATCTTGTGTTTTTGACCTGTCAAGTTTTCTCCTTTACTGTCTTTAACTGACTTGATTGTTCTTATTTTTTCTCTAATGTTTTAGAAATTATATGTCTTATTTTTCTTCTAGTATTTCCTTTACATTTATAACACGCATGTGCATGTTTATTTTTTCTAACTAAACTGAGTATTAAATAACATATACAACCTCTAATTTCCACGTAGGATAAGGCACTTAGTTCAATCTAACTCCAATCTTTTTCTTGGCTACCCGCTATATTTTGTTGAAATCATTGAAAATGTTGATTCGAAATTGCTTTCAATTTTTGTGTTTCTAATTTCTTAGAAATCATAATTCTTAACAACTGCTTTAAGCTTCATTGCTATATTATTACTTGTAACATGACTGTGTTTTAGTGTTTGCTAGTTGATCATGAATAATTTGCATACATCTCATTGCTCCTTTATTAATTTTTAATTTTACTAGAAGGCTTGAGTAGTTCCTTCAAAATGATTTTGCATAAATTTACTGAGTTCTTGAACAGAAATAGGAATATACCAAATGCAAAAGAATAGAATCAATAGCCAAGACAATCTTGAAAAAGAAGAACAAAGTTGGAGGTCTCACACATCTTGATTTCAAACGTACTATGAATTTATGGTAATCAAAGCGTATGGTGTGACCATAAAGACATATTAATAGTTCAGGTAGACTGGAAAGAAATCCTCAAATATATGGTTAAATCATTTTCCACAAGGGTGCCACATCTGGCCTCACAAAAATGGCCAGTGGTTTTCCACAAGACCACTCCATATGGAAAGCACAATCTTTTCAATAAATGGTGCTGGGAAAACTGCATATCCACATGCAAAATAATGAAGTTAGACTCTTACGTAATGTTGTATGCAAAAATTAAGTAAAACTGGATCAAAGACCTAAATGTAAGAGCTAAACCTATAAAACTCATAGAGGAAAATACTGGGAAAAGCTTTATGACACCGGATTTGACAATTCTTTCTTGGATATGACACCACCAAAAGAACAGGCAACCAAAAAAAAAAAAAAAAAAAAGATAAATTGGACCTTGTCAAAATAAAAAACTTTGTGTACCAAAGGTAGTATCAACAAAGTGAAAAGGCAACCAATGGAATGACAGAAAATATTTGCAAGTCACATATTTGATAAGGGATTAATATCATAACATATACAGAACAACTACAACTCAACAAGAAGATAACCTGAAAAAATGGAAAGACATCCCATGCTCATGGATTAGAATAATTAACATTGTTAAAATATCTATATTAACCAAAGTGCTCTACAGATTCACTGCAGTTCCTGTCAAAATACCAATGACATTCTTCAAAGAAATAGAAAAAAACCCTGAAATTCATATAAAACCACAAGAGACCTTGAATAGCTAAAGTCATCCTGGGCAAAAAGAACAAAGCTAAAGGCATCACACTACCTAATTTCAAAGAATACTACCAATTCATAGTAACCAAAAGAGCATGGTACTGGCATAAAAACAGACGCATCAACCAATGGAACAGAATAGAGAACCCACAAATAAATCCATACACTTACAGCCAACTCAGTTTCAACAAAGGTGGCAAGAACACACAGTGGGGAAAGGACAGTCTCTTTAATAAACAGTGCTGGGAAAACTGAATATCCACATGCAGCAGAATGAAACTAGATCCTCATCTTTCATCACATAATGAAATCAACTCAAAATGGATTCAAGGCTTAAATTTAAGACATAAAATTATGAAACTACCAGAAGAAAACATTGGGGAAACACTTCAGGACATCGGTTTGGGCAAAGATTTTTTTCATAAGACCTCAAAAAGACAACAATAGACAAATGGGATTATATCAAGGTAAAAAGCTTCTGCACAGCAAGGGAAACAATTAACTAAGTGAAGAGACAACCTAGAGAATGGGAGAAAATATCAGCAAACTTCTGTCTGACAAGGGATTAATAACCAGATTATATAAGAAGCTCAAACAACTCAATAGCAAAAAAACAAATGATCTGATTAGAAAATCGGCAAATGACCTGAATAGAGTTTCTCAAAAGAAGACATACGAACAGGCAACAGGCATATGAAAAAAACCTCAGTATCATTAATCACCAGAGAAATGCAAATTAAAACCACAATGAGATTCATCTCACTCTAGTTAGAATGGCTATTATAAAAAAGACAAAAAATAACAGATGCTGATGAGGATGTGGAGAAAGGGAAATGTAAATTAGAAATATCGTTATGGAAAACAATATGGAAGTTCCTCAGAAAACTAAAAATAGAATGACCATAGATCCAGGAATCCCACTGCTGAGTATATATTCAAAAGAAAGGAAATCAGGCTGGTGGGGAGGCTCATGCCTGTAATCCCAGCGCTTTGGGAGACTGAGGTGGGTGAATCACGAGGTCAGAAGTTCGAGAACAGCCTGGCCAAGATGGCGAAACCCTGTCTCTATTAAAAATACAAAAAATAGCCCAGTGCAGTGGTGGGTGCCTGTAATCCCAGCTACTTGGGAGACTAAGGCAGGAGAATCACTTGAACTCGGGAGGTGGAGGTTGCAGTGAGCTGAGATCGTGCCACTGCACTCTAGAATGGGAGACAGAGCAAGACTCTGTCTAAAAAAAAAGGAAATCAATATATTGAAGAGATGTCTGCACTCCCATGTTTGTTGTAGCACTGTCTACAATAGCCGAAATATGGATTGACCTGAGTGTCCAATGGAAGAATGGATAAAGTGTGGAATTCATGCAGAACAGAATATTACTCAATCATAAAAAGAACGGAATCTTGTCATTTGCAGCATCATGAATGGAACTGGATGTCATTATGTTAAGTAAAATAAGCCAGGCACAGAAAGACAAATATTACATGTTCTTACTCAAATGTGGGAGCAAAAAAGGTGGGTCTCACAGAGGTAGAGAGTAGAATAGTGTTTACCAGAGGCTGGGAAGGCAAGCGGGGAGAAAGAGAAGTTGACTAATGGGTACCAACATGCAATTAGATAGAAGAAATACATTCTTGTATTTGATAACATAGCAGGAAAATTATAGTTAACAATAAACTATTTCCTGTGTCCCTTTGTTTGTTCACATTTTTTCCCTCAGGAATTTTCAAAATTCCTGTTCTCTCCTGGCTCCACTCAAGACCCAGCTCAAATGCATGTTTGTCACGAAGCCTTTGATCCTAGACTCCCAGTGTCTAGGGACTTGTGACTCCTACTCCCAGTGGGCCCTGTGACTCCCACTGGGCCCTGTGACTACCAGTGTCTCCCACATTGGACATGGTCCCCTGCCCACTTCTGGGGTCTTCACAGATGTGCAGCTCCCTGGCTGAAAGAATGAAGGATGTTCCCCAACTAATGACCCTCAAACACTTGAATTGGGACAGACACCATTTCTGCTTCATCTCTTGGTGGGTGGCTTTATCTCTTAGTTTTCCTAAAAGCTTCAAGAGAAGAGTAAGTTTCTAGGAAATGGGCTTTAATTCACACAGAAGTCACTCGGTCTGTCTCTCAGGAAGGTGGAGGAGACATGCTCAGACCAGGTGTTCATCTCTGTCTCAGGCCTGCTGTAAGCGGTTTTGTTTGTGGTTCTCTAATGAAATAAAAACTTAAAGCATGTCCTGGCCAAATTTTCAGGAAATTTAAATTCAGGAGAAGTCTGTAACAACTTCTGGAAATAACGAGGAGAGTCTCTCTCTCTCCCTTTTTTTTTTTTTTGTCCTGTAAGGCACTGTAAGTCCAAAATATGTCCGTAATGAATTACGTAAAGATCTGGAAGGCTGAAGTGCTTCTCCAAATGCCAATACCTCTGGAGGGAAATGCAAGAAAATAGCCATGGGGAAAAATGAGTTCAGATCCGCAACAAAACAAAAGGGAGGAGGGTAAGGCAATCGGTTAAACTAAGGGTGGGATGAATGCTTCCTGAACATTTTAATCCTGGGGAAAACAGTGGTTTCTAAAATAAAATAGGCATTTTAGACCTGTTCCGGCTCTGAAAGGCAGAATGGGACTGGATTGGATGTGGTGATGCCAGGAAGACACACCCTTGTCAAGGCCTCCAGTGCCAACAGTGGGCCAGGGAGCGTGCTAATGCTCTGGACACACCATGTGTCTGGGGAGCTCTGGGTGAGGGCAGAGACCCAGATCTGTAAGGTGCACATGAAAACACAAAGAGGCTGCTCTAGCTGAATCCTCCTCTCCACACGCCCCCTTCGAGTCACTGAAGGCCAGTATACGGGAAACCCATCGGCGGAGCTTCCCCAGGTCTGGGATCAGCACCAGCCATGTCCCCT